TTTGAACAGAGCCAGTCTGTCCTAGAGGATGGAGTGTGGACTGGACAGAGACTCCTGAGGTCAAATCCTGCCCCGTGGGACAAGATATGAGCTAAGAAGCCTCTCAGCCTCAGTGTTGTCATCTGTAGAATGGGGGCAATCATAGCTATATTTGCCACATCTTGGGCTACACTGAGGTAATGGACATAAGGTGTGCCCCAAGCAGCAGCTGGAGAGACCACGTGGTGCAGTGGGCAGAGAGGTCAGAAAGACTCGGGTCCCAGCTCTTTACGTTCCCCATCCTGGCTGTGGGTCCCTGGGCCAGCTCATTCCTTACATTTATGTGCTGCAGAATGCCTGCCTCCAATCTTCATGGGCAGGCAGTGAAGTCTCGGGTCCAGGTTTGTTTAGGTGCCATTTATCACTTAGGAGACAAGATAACTTCATATATTCCTAGGATTACACTGTTCAGTTGATGAAATTGGATCAGGAAGGGGTCTTGAGTCCCCATTTTATAGGCAGGGAAACTGAGGCCTGAAGAGCTAAGGGACTTGCCCAGGGCATTTCAGGCAGAACTTGAACATGATTTCCTGACACCATCTGCTTACATTTGGAGGAAATCCCTGTGTGACCGTGGGCAAGTCACTTTCCCTCTGGGCCTCAGTTTTCTCATCTTTGCATAAGGGGAATAAGACACAGTTTCCAGAGAAGCTGGGGGGCCTCAGTTCAGCTCAGTACTGGTCCTCTGGGTGTCCTCTGCCCCCATTCCATGAGAAGTGAGAGAGTGAGACTGGCTGACCTCTCAGTGTGAAGTCTAGGATCCAAAGAGAATTTCTTAACCAGAGGTCTATGAACTTGTTTTTGAAGATATTTCGCTAGCGTTATTGCATATAATTGGTTCCTGTATTTTCTTTTATGCATTTGGAAATGTTATCCTGCAAAAGGGGTCCAGGACACGGAGAAGGTGAAGAGCCCATTCCTAATGCCTTCCCCAGGCTACAATCATAGATTACTTTTGTGCGTGGGTGCCCCCATTTTCAGAAGGAAGTCTAGCCTGGAAAGGTTAGGATCTTGGCAGTCCCGATGCCTACTACCTTCCATCAGGCCCTAGGGAGTAAACACTGGGGTTGGGATGCACAAGGATTTTGCAGCCCAATACGCATTAACCATAATGGGAACCCTACTGCTTACTTCCCATGCAGCACACAGCATATTTATTTCTTAATGTTCTTTTAATGTAACTTTTCTTGGGCGACTCTTTACTGCCAAATGTGAAACGCAAGATTCCTCTTTTATGGGCCATTTGGAGTGATAGATTTCTGTTTGTGAATTTCTGTTCCCTTGCCCCTAATGGCCGAACACCAGTTATGGCCGCACCTTCTGGTGTGGAAATAGCAGAAGCCTTGAATTGTCTGTCTGTGTCTATGCAGTGTCTGTGCCCTGAAAAGCAAAGGGATAAAATGGACAGGGGAAAGATGGAAAGATGGACACACTTTGTAAGAGGCCAGAGCTCGGAACAAGCCACTGATGTCTGGAAGATGTGGTGTGTTCCTCCTTGAACTGAGTGCATGCCTCATCACGGGGACCAGAGTGAAGGCTGGCCCTGGCGAAGGGAGATTCAGTGGCTTTCTGCCGATCCTATCAAAATGGCCTCTGAGGATATTACACATTTGGCTTTTTACCGGGATACCACAGTCCCTGTCCACACTGTGATGGCTCAGGGGTCCACAGCTGCTTCTTTTGAAAAACACTCTGTTAGTGCCTCATCAAGTGGAAACATCTCAAAGGGAATCTGGGAGTTTCAGGAATTGGTTATGTTGTCCTAGGAGTTGTTGCAGAGAACAGTCTAGATTCTAAGTCAGGAAGACTTGGGTTCAAATGCTTCCTCTGATATTTACTGTGTGGCCACTGGCAAGTCACAAACTACTCTGAACTTCACTTGTCCTCATAGGTAAGGATAAGTCTAGAGAAGGATGACTCTGCCCTGAGTCCCTACCCTGGATCCTCATTTCTTTCTCTTCTTTTCTTTTTTCTTTTTTTGGCTAGGCAATGGGGTTAAGTGACTTGCCCAGGGTCACACAGCTAGTAAATGTTATGTGTCTGAGGCCGGATTTGAACTCAAGTCCTCCTGAATCCAGGGCAGCACTCTATGCACTGTGCCACCTAGCTGCCCTGGAGCCTCATTTCCTAAGGAACCCCAGCTATACTACTCCCTTCACTTCTGGCTCGTTCTCTGGTCAGCAGCTCCTCCCACTAGCCCCCTTCCCCACCCACTCACATACCTTTCCAGCTCTTCCTCAGGATCTTTTGTCTCTTTTCCTCTACTAGAAAGTCTGCATCTTGATAGGAGGGACCATGTTATCTCTCCAGTGCTCGGCACAGTGCCAGACACAGTAAGCACTTAATTAATGCTCTGTCAACTGACCCATCCTTCCATCCATCCATCCATCCATCCATCCATCTGTCTGTCTGTCCACCCATCCATCCACCTACCTATCCATCCATCCATCCACCCATCCTCTGATCCATCCATCCATCCATCCGTCCATCCATCCATCTGTCCACCCATCCATCCACCACCCATCCATTCATCCACCCACCCATCCATCTGTCTGTTCATCCATCCATCCATCCATCCATCCATCCATCCATCCATCCATCTGTCCACCCATCCATCCACCACCCATCCATTCATCCACCCACCCATCCATCCGTCCGTCCATCCATCCATCCATCCATCCATCCATCTGTTCACCCATCCATCCACCACCCATCCATCCATCTGTTCACCCATCCATCCACCACCCATCCATCCATCCACCCACCCATCCATCTGTCTGTTCATCCATCCATCCATCCATCCATCCATCCATCCATCCATCTGTCTGTCTGTCCACCCATCCATCCACCTACCTATCCATCCATCCATCCACCCATCCTCTGATCCATCCATCCATCCATCCATCTGTCCACCCATCCATCCACCACCCATCCATTCATCCACCCACCCATCCATCTGTCTGTTCATCCATCCATCCATCCATCCATCCATCCATCCATCCATCCATCCACCCACTCATTTACCCACCCACCCGTCCATGCACCCACTCACTCACCCATCCGTCCATCTGTTGGATGGGGGAAATAACACCTTCCGTACCTGCCACGCAGGTATGTTGTGAAATTAAAAAGAGGTGATGTATGGCAAGTGCTCCACAGACATTAAAGCAGTCTTGACGCATGATCAGCAGGCACTGCTATCAAGACCGTGGCTGCATTGAACAGCCGGGGGTTAATTCTAGTGTGAGCCTTAATTTAGATGCGGGAGGAGCCCTAGAGATCGCCATTCCTCACTTTTCAGAAGCGGAACCTGAGTCCCAGAGAAGTTAAGGGACCTCAAGGTCACCAGGTGGGGACTTGAACCCAGGCCCTTTGACTGCAAATCAAATGTTCTTTACTACGGCCTGTGACGTCTTGCTTTTAAGCTGTTGCTCGGGTGGGCGTGGTTCATTAGTACAGCTTACAGCTCTGCCTTTAGAAATAATAATAATAACTACAGTTCACACTTACATGGAGTGCTTTAGGCTTGTGAAGTGCTTTACAGACAGGATCTCACCTGATCCTCACAAGGAGTCTAGGAGGTAGGGGCTATTATCATCCCAAGTTTACAGATGAAGAAACTGAGGCAGATGCCCAGGACCACACAGCTAGGAAGTGTCTGAGGCTGGGTTTGCAGTTGTGTCTTCCTGACTCTGGGCCCCACGCTCTATCCATTGAGCCACTGATACGGCTTTTTAATGGGCAGAGGAACTGTTTTAGCTCAAACAGTAGACCCATGTCTTTAAATGATGAGAAAGGTGGCTCATATATCTATTTGACAGAAGTTTATACACTTAAGCAATGTTTATGGAAAGCCCTCACTAGCCTGGCTCCAGGGGAGATGTGTGGGAGGGGGCTGGCGTGTGCAGCCTGTTCTTGTACAGTTCTATCATCTCATTAAATAGGGAGGGGAAGGAAATGGGCCCATCCAATTCCAGGAGATAGTGAGTGCAGCTTTTAGTGCCATATCTGCAGTCACAAGGAGATCGCCTTTGCTTTTCCTGGTGATAGAACTGAATCGCTTTAGTATCTACTCCTCCCTGTGATTACCAGAGAAGAGCTGAATTTTCATCTTGGTGAGAGAAAGGGCAGAGGAATAATGAATAGAACGGAAATCCACTTTACTGACAAGTCAAGATATCCTGGGACTCAGTTTAGGTCTCTGGACATTCTGGCATGGTGTTTCCTAGAGCCTTTGAGTTCAGCTCTGTTGGAAGCCATCTCCACTCAATGGTATGTAGTGGAGACACTGGTGACATTTTTGTTCCCTTTTGGGAGACCCTCTGAAGCCTGGAAAGTCTTATCAGGAAATGATTTTGGCTGTGGGTGAATTGTCAAACGCATGGCATCCTACAACTGGCCTGTCTAAGGAGGTTTCCAGCGAATGATTCTGCCCAGGTAGTCCCTGCTAAGGTCTCTCCTCTTCACACACACTGTTTATGTTGCTGGGAGGCTGATCAAGATATTTTCTTGCTGGTGTAGGCTACAAGCACCAAGGTAGTAAATGCACTTGGTCTATGGTTTGGAAGGCATCAAAATAAATGATGGGCATCTCAGAAACCAAGGTAGGCTGGCGCAGGAAACAGCCTGTCACTAGTCAGGAAAAGGAAGGCTCTAGGTGCTAGGGAAGCATAGAAGGCCACAGAGAATGGTGGGATCACCTCTCACCTGCTAAACAGTGCCATCACCCAGAGAACAAAGGAATCACTCTTGGCTCTTACTGAGGGAAGTTGGCATTAAGTCCATCTCTCTGGTGGAAATTTCCCCAGGAAAGAGGATGTGTTGGTTTGAGATTTGTATGCCTCAAATACCTTTTTCCTTCATACAGCCCTAGGATCATGTTGGGATGTTCTTGCTGTGAAAGACAAATCCTGGAGTGAAACCCTGGCTTAAAATAAGAAAAAAATAACCTTACTCCAATGTGAGGTACATGCAATTGATAGTCATGGAATGCAAAAGAAAGAAACACATGGCAGCATATCGACAGAAATGGAAGCCTTCCCAAACCATCATCAGTTTTCATTCAAGACATAAAGGATTCTGAAAAATAAAGAACCACAGAGCTCTAATGTAGGAAAAAAACCAAGCAAATGCTGGCCTAGTGTCGGTAAAAATCCCTCCATAACTAAATACTGTAGATTTGCATTATGAAAGTCTGTGGAGATGTGCCATTTAAAAGCCACAGTTAGACTGACCCAGGCTGCCTTTGACAAATCCTACACACATTGTTCAGAAAGATGGCGGAAGTCAGATACTAGGTTAAGATCCAGTCCAATAGGCAATGTCCGCTTATGAGGTGTGCTGTCAAGCAATCATGTGCCTTTTCTTCATGGCTCATAAGCTGGCTCTGAAGGTGAGAAAAAAGGAAACCAAACTCTTTTCAGGAATGGTGGTATCACTGGGCCACCTGTATGGCCTCCCAAGCCAACTACCTTGGAGGAGACAATGCTCATTTGGCTGGATAAAATTCTTGTATATTGGTTTAAAGAGGGAAAAAGTGGGCTGTATTACATGATAGTCACACCTCATACATATTCATTTGTGGTAACCTCTTGAGTATAGGAGCAATTCTCATCTCCAGGTCCTGTTAACTTTCCTTTCCACATTGGCTGGCCTCGAGGTGAAGTTTAAGACCCTGAAGCTTGGTACTCTAGATGATAGCAATGACAGCTTTGTGCATTTATTCTTCAGAACGCTGGTTGGATCTCAGCGTGGTTGATAGCCAGTGATTCCGGCTTCCAGTCTGGTTGAAAGAAGTGGATATTGAAGGCCCGAGCCCAGTTCTCAAAGACACGCTTCTCTGTGATGAACCGGTGATGGCTCCCCTTCCGTCCCCGCTCGTGTGAGATGTACATCATGCATTCATCGGGTCCCAAAGGTTCATAATAGTGATAAGGTACTGAAGGGTGATTGGGGTCCCTGTAAAAAGGAGAAAAAACCCAGAAAATAGAAAATAAGAGGCTGAAGTCAAAGATGTTCCTGTGGTAGATGGAAAAGGATGTTATCTTTAATAGACAGACAAGCTCACGTGATTCCCCTCCCCAGTTAAACTAAATATTAACAACTGTCATATCAGATATTTAAGCAATAAGCATATAGAGAGATTCCATGCTTGTCAAATGTAAGTGTCGGCAGCTGCTCAGCAGGAAGAGACACTGAGGGGTCTGTTGATCATTGTGGCTGCCACTGTGCTAAGGAGGGGTCCATACCAAGTTGGTGGATTGACACAAAGTCCTACTCTTACCAAGTGGGGAAAGTCATTGATCCTGGCCCATTTCAAGTCCCTAGTCATGGGTCATGGAAAGATAGGGAAGCATAGCATGGAAGAAAGAACATATGTGAGATATTTGGCTCGGGAATTTGGGAACCTGGGTTCAGATCCCAACTGGGGTACTTCCTGCATTTTTAACCTGAGCCAAGACACATGGGCCTCAGTTTCCTTATCTACAAAATAAGAGTGTTTGATCAGATCACCTCTAGATCTATGCTCCTTTGAATAAGCATTAGGGCATCCTTTCTTTCCTTCCTTCCGTCTCTTGGACAGACACTCATCTTTTTAACATCAGCGTTCTCCCAGTTCTGCTGGATGTGCTCAAGGCATGCGAGGTGGCTGTAGTCTCCATTGCATTGGCCAATGGAGATAAAGAACGCATTCCCAAATCACGACAGATTCTAGGGGGAAAGAACGCATGCTCTTGATCATCAACACTCAATAATGGGCGGTGAGGTGAATTTCACAGGATTTGGTTTCCATGGAAAAGGATGCTGTGACTTCCTTTGGCTGGTTCTCAGTTATACTCCATACTGGATGCCCCCATTCCACCACGATTTAAAATTTATGTCAACAGAAGAAGTGGTATAAATAATATAATAACAACTTCCTATAATAGGAGAAGAGGAGGGTCAGCCATGTTGCAGAAGTGAAGGATGGCTATTGCATATGAAAGAAACCTAGAGTTAGGAACTCAACACATTTGGTGCAAACCCCCCCCCCCCCTCTGAGGAAGAATCCCAGAGGAGATGGACTAGAATCACACAGTTTGAAAAGTTCTGACCCACATTACTGGAGGGAGTACCCATATCAGTGAGCTCCAGAGTCAGCATTGGGCTCTCAGATGCGTTAGAATGCCCCTAAAGGTGAGGACTGTTTTTGTTGCTCTTGCTGACTCATAACATTCAGCACTGTTTCTGGCACACAGGAAGCATTTAATAAAAGCTTGTCCCTGATTGACCCATACTCCAGCCAATTAGTTCCTGAAAAGGTGAATCCAAGAGTTAGCCCCAGATTCTCTTCTACTTCATTCCAGCCAACCCTAACTTCTCTATTGTGCTCTGTTGTGATTATTGTGAGAAGCAACGCGATGTAGTAGAGAGCAGTTGCCATTTTAGTGACATCTTGTCTTTCTTTATCCTACTCCTACTCCTACGCCTACCATTTAGCATAGCACTAGATATACACCACATATACCGGGCACTGTGCTGAGCACTTTACAATTATTATCTCACAACTACCTAGGAGGTAGGTGCTATTATTATCCCCATTTTACAGATGCAGAAATTGAGGCAAACAGAGGCTCAGCAACTTGCCCAGAGTCACATAGCTAGTTTCTGAGGCTGATTTGAACTCAGGTCTTCCAAACTCAGAGTGCCATCTGCTGTGCCACCTAGCTGCCCCTGCCTCATTCAGTCAGTATTAAATTTTCAGCATGCAGTGATGAGTTACAGTTTCTATCATTTCCTTGATGAAGATGATGCCACTTCCTCATCTCCAACCAAGGATCTTGGAAGAGCTTAGGCGGTTCCTCAGCCTAGTCACGATAACCTTTCTTTATAAAAACATGTGGGTGGCTCCCTGTGCCCTTTTCATCCATCAGTAAACATTAGTTAAGTGCTTAGTAGGTGCCTGGGCACTTAGCCAAATGTCTAGCATGTACAGAAAGAGAAAAACAGTCCTTGCCCTCAAAGGGCTTACATTTTAATGTTACCTTAAAGGTATAATTAGAAACAGTAGTAGAAAGGTACAGAGAGGCAGATTTAAGCTGAACATAAAGGAAAAAAAGTCCTATCACTTAGAGCAGACCTGCACAACTACAGCCCTCAGGCTGCTTCAGCTGCCTGAAATCCTTTGGCAGGCTGAAGATTGTGCAGGCCTGACTTAGAGCGGCACATAATTTGAATGGCCCACCTTGGGAAGTGTTGGGCTCTCCCCCAGTGAAGGTTTTCAAAGCACAAAGTTTGAGGATTCAGTTTGATTCAATCTGATTCAATCAGCCAATGTTGATGGGACACCTGCTACGTGTAAACCATGGTGCTTGGGGCTGGAACGCTGTGGAGGGGGTTCCTGCCCGGTCATAGGTTGGGCAGCATGACCTCTGAGGAGGCCCTCTCTCCGTGGCTAGTGGCTGCCTAAGTTCTCCCACATATTCCATCCTCTTCATCTTGCGGCCTGTGATGTGACCTGCCTGCTGCCAGCTGCATTCAGTCACCTGACCCCACCCCCAACAAGAGCGCTTGAGCAGCAGAAAATCTTGGCAACTGCTTTAGCAGTGACACCAGTTAGGTGCAGTCAGGGCATCAGAAACTCGGGCTTTTTCCCTGCCATACCTGAGGCTGTACTCTAAGTCCGGTTCTGTGGTTTCCCAAAGATGCTCATCCTGGTATGCCCCTAGAACTATTCACTTTGCTCAGGAGGGATCAGTGCACAAGAGGCTTTTAGAGAAGCGGCTTAACCTGTCTGGGGTCAAAGATGGAAGTCATTCATCAGAAAGGTGTGGGGACTGTGACTCTGACGACAATCGGCCTTTGATCTACTTCTTCAGGTTAAAGTTCCTGCCAGAAGAGAGATTCATTTTTTTGTCGTGCACCATTTGAACACTCTTCATTCTGGCTTGGGAACCTTGCTGCATTAACACATGGCATTGTCAACATGCCAACCTCATGAAGGGCGTTTGTTTCCAGCAGTTTAGTGAACGTTCTCAAGGAAAGATGGAGCCCTCCAGGTGGAACTCGTTCACTTTGCGTGGAAAGCCTCATCTTCTTCAAATTTCTGGAGCGATTCGAATAGAAATGACATCACAGAAATTCAAAATCGATCAACTTTTACCTATTTTAAAATAATTTTTATTGACGTTTTGTTTTTCAACCACCTACATTTCCCAACATATCCATTCATCCTTTCTCTGAAAGCTATCTCTCATAACAAAGAATAAAAAAGAGGGAAAAAACCCAGTTTAACAAAACTAACCAATACATTGAAAGATTCTGATAAATTTGGTGTTCCACAGATGTATCCCCCACTTTTGCTTTTACATCGTCTAAATTTCTCATGGCATCCTTCCCTGTACTCCCTTCTAGAGAATAAAAGAGAGAAAGTAAGAAAAAATCCACAAAACAAATCAAAATATCATAAAACTATGATGTTATATGCAGTATTTCATACTTATGGTCCCCTACCTGAGAGAGAGAGAGAGAGAGAGAGAGAGAGAGAGAGAGAGAGAGAGAGAGAGAGAGGGAGAGAGAGAGGTGTCTTCCATTATTTCTCCCTTAGTGCTGAGTTCGGTCATTATAATTTCAGAAAATTCAGTCTCCAAGGCTTTGTTGTTGTCCTTTCCATTTGCGTTCTTGTGGTCATTGGTGTATTGTTTTCCTGGCTCTGCAACAGTTCGTAAAGGTCTTCTCATGATTCTCTGAATTCATCATCTCTTAGAGTACATTTTTTACTTCGTTACCCTAATTGAGTGACACTTGTTTAGCCCCAACTGACAAGCATCTATTTCATTTCCAGTTCTTTGTTACTATGAAAAATTAAGCCAACATTTGTTAAGTGTTGACTAGACACTGGTGCAGTACTCTAAGGATAAGAATGTAAGCACAACACAGTCATCTGCCCACAGTGAAAGATGCACCAGGAAGATTCAGATACCAAGGAACGTTAAGATGTCTCACACTCCACATGTCCAAGTCTGACCTTGTCTTTCACCCCCAAACCTCCCCTCTTCCAAATTTCCCTATTGCTGTGAGAGCACCATCATCTCCCACCTTGGCTCATGACCAAGGGGCAAACCTTGACTCCTCACTTTCTCTCACCCACCATATCCATTTTGTTGCCAAGACCTGTTGATCTAACTCTCAGAACATCTTTGCAATATCCCCTCTCTTCTCCTCTGATGCTACTACCACTCTGGTGCAGGCCCATATGACCTCATGGCTGGACTACTGCTCTGGCCATCTAGTGGATTTCCCTGCCACAAATCTCTTCCTGCACCAGTCCTTCTTCCTCAGCTATCAAGGAGACCTTCCTAAAGTGCATAATTGCCCATGACACCCCTTACTCTCTATCCAGTAAACTCCAGTAGCTCCCTATTACCTCTAGGATCAAATAGAAAACCCTCTGCTTGGCATTCAAAGCCCTTTATAACCCAGCCCCACACCCCTCTATCTTTCCAGTCTTCTTAACACCTTCTACTTTCCCCCACCCCGTTGGTTATCTCCAGTTTATCCTGCACATGGCTTGTTTGTACATAATTGTTTACATATTATATCCCCCATTAAATGGTGAACTCTTTAAGAGCAATGTCTGTCTCTTACCCTTTGCACATAGGAGGCCTTTAATAAATGTTAATTGACTGACTGACTGACTGACTGACTGACATTAGTAGAAACTTGTCAGACAAATTCTGTCAACTTTGATTTCAAAAGTGATCTTGTTTGGGGAGCACGCCAAATTCATGCTGCCTTGGCATCCTGAAGAATTAAGCTTTGATTCCACCATGACTCATGTTTTTAATTGATTCATCAAAGTTTAGAACACATTGTTGGAATCAGTCTGGTGACAGACACTTGATGTTTATAAAAACAATACATGACTGACAAGGAGCAGACTGTTGAGAGGAGAACTGAGAACCAGCAGAAGGAAGCCA